TGATAACAAGTTCAAACAGGTGCCATTAATACAGGTAACAAGTGGAGGACAGAGGAGCCTCTTAAAGAAGAAGTTACAGGTCTGTGAGAGCCAGAAATCTTGCTTGTTTGTAGGTGACCAAATACTTATTTTCCACCATAATTTGCAAATAAATTCATTAAAAATCCTACAATGTGATTTTCTGGATTTTTTTTTCTCAATTTGTCTGTCATAGTTGACGTGTACCTGTGATGAAAATTACAGGCCTCTCTCGTCTTTTTAAGTGGGAGAACTTGCACAATTGGTGGCTGACTAAATACTTTTTTCCCCCACTGTAAGTATTCGAAATTGAGCTCAGGTGCATTTTGTTTCCATTAACCATCCTTGTGATGTTGTTAGAACTTGATTGGAGTCCACCTGTGGTAAATTAAATTGATTGGACATGATTTGGAAAGGTACACACCTGTCTATATAAGGTCCCACAGTTGACAGTGCATGTCAGAGCAAAAACCAAGCCATGAGGTCGAAGGAATTGTCTGTAGAGCTCCGAGACAGGATTGTGTTGAGGTACAGATCTGGGGAAGGGTACCAAAGAATTTCTGCAGCATTGAAGGTCCCCAAGAACACAGTGGCTTCCATCATTCTTAAATGGAAGAAGTTTGGAACCACCAAGACTCTTCCTAGAGCTGGCCGCCCGGCCAAACTGACCACTCTTCAGTAAAAGGCACATGAGAGCCCGCTTGGAGTTTGCCAAAAGGCACCTAAAGGACTCTTAGACCATGAGAAACATGATTCCCTGGTCTGATGAAACCACGATTGAACTCTTTGAGTTGAACGCCAAGAGTCACGTCTGGAGGAAACCTGGCACCATCCCTACGGTGAAGCATGGTGGCGGCAGCATCATGCTGTGGGAATGTTTTTCAACAGCAGGGACTGGGAGACTAGTCCGGACCGAGGGAAAGCTGAACTGAGAAAAGTAAGGAGAGATCCTTTATGAAAACCTGCTCCAGAGCGCTCAGGACCTCAGACTGGGGTGAAGGTTCACCTTCCAACAGGACAACGAACCTAAGCACACAGCCAATACAACGCATGAGTGGCTTCGGGACAAGTCTCTGAATGTTCTTGAGTGGCCCAGCCAGAGCTCGGACTTGAACCCGATCGAACATCTCTGGAGAGACCTGAAAATAGCTGTGCAGTGATGCTCCCCATCCAACCTGATAGAGCTTAACAAAGTACTGAGTAAAGGGTCTGAATACTAATGTAAATTTGATATCTATTTTTTAAATTTTTTAAATAAATATACAAACATTTGTAAAAACCTGTTTTTGCTTTGTCATTATTGGGTATTGTGTGTAGATTGATGAGGGGGAAAAAACAATTTAATCAATTTTAGAATAAGGCTGCAACGTATCAAAATGTGGAAAAAGTCAAGTGGTCTTAATAGCACACCTATTGTTACTCGTGTGTTTTCTTCTGTGTATGTTTTTTTGTGTCTTTGCTTTGATTAAAGGGTTATTGTTAACAAGGTTGTCGACTAGACTAAACCAAACCTCCATGCCTCTGAACTAACATTTCTTCATTTTAAGGTTGAGTGGTAAACATACAAGGAGACACTGAAGCAGTGATGATAATAAGTTGACATTGTTTTATTGTTCTCAAGAGCAACGAGAGGTGAGAAACATTTTCACCAAGGTTGTTAGTACTTTAACAAAAGGTGTTCTCTGTCATTTAAAATGTGAAACCTTGAGGGAATTTTATTTGCGTCAGAAAAGGATGTTCATAAGTAACATATACAAAACCTTGCAGAGAGCATACCCAACTGACAATCTCTTAGAAAAAAATATAAACTATTGTACCAAGACATAAAATTAACTGATGTTAGCACAAGATGGAGGGAAAGTTGGAGCATAACTAACGAAATTACAGTTAACGAAAATGTACGCTTAGTCCAGTATAAACTAATGTATAGAATTATTATTATATAAGCGACAAAATTCAGAAATTCTACAGCACAATGGCATGTCTTAACAGTCATGTGTTAAGTGTAAATATAATAATCCATGCTTTCTGGGAGTGATATAAAGTCAAACATTTATGGGCGGAGCTAGAATGTATCACAATGTAAATGTACTTTTAATCCGCCTGTCTGCATATTTCAAGACGTCATATGGGGGTGTAGTGAGATACTCAACGGGCTGGACGATTCCCTTCTCATCACTCATCTTGAAAAAACGTATACTAAAAACTTGGAAGTCAATCCACCATCATTAACAAAATGGAAAAATCGAATAATTTCTGATTTAAATATTGAAGTAGCATGGGCGACTGAGAAAAACAAATTGGTACAATTTTAGGCTGTGGCAAACAATAATGCAGGCACTAGGGATCTGGGCGGGTCTGGACAGATGAGATGTAGTCGTTGTTTGTGTGCGTCAAAGAGGAGAGGGGGGGATTGCTTTATCTGTAGCGTCTCCTGCAAGACTGTTTTTCATTTTTCCTGGTGTGGGAGACATATACTGTAGTTTAAATAAACGTGTTCCCATTTACAGTTTTTCTCAATTGCTAAAACACTAAAACCCATTAGCTGAACAAAGTTCTCAGTTGCCTGGACTCATTTAGCTAATTATGCAGTCTGTTGTCAATACCTTAACCATTTCACATGGTAAAACACAATTTGCAGATCTCACTTAGACTTTTCAGCAAAACTCTAAACACATTCTCATTCTCAAAACACATTCTGCACTCTAATGCACATGTCATCCATACTGGTAAACACAAGTGGCAACAATCAAATACAAATAGAGAACACATGTCATTGATTGAACACAACCACTCAAAATTGATTTAACCTGTTTCAAATGATGCAACACAAACAATATAAGCCAGTTCAGAGAGCAAACAGGTTGTTGAAGGTAGGGAAGGAGAAAGTCTGAGAATGGATAGAAGAAACAATGTGAGAGGACGAGGACGAGTACGTATGCGAGGTGGGCGACGAGGAAGAAGAGGAGGAGGAGGGCAAGAAAGAGGAAGAGGAGGAAGAAGAGGAAGAGGAAGACAAAGAGTGGAAATATCTGATGAAATTCGACCAATAGTCATAGACCATGTTCTTGTCCATGGACTGACAATGAGGGAAGCAGGACTTAGAGTGCAACCCAATTTGAGCCGATTTTCTGTGTCCACCATAGTAAGGACATTCAGAGACGAGAACAGGTACAGTATACTACTGTATTTTTGTAATTGCAAATGTACTGTACTACACTATATGCAGCTGTTTCAATAGACATTTGTAAAGTTAATCACTGTATGTATTGTACTGCATGAATATGTTTTGTAACTGCACAACTACTTTTTGTAGAATTACAAGGCTGCCACATGCAGGTGGAAGGACAGCTATATTCACTCGGGAGCAAGAGGCCGTTATAGTTGGCATGGTCCTTCAAGATAATGCAATACGACTCAGAGAAATCCAGGAACGAGTGATACAAGACAACACACACTTCCAGGGAATCGACAGTGTGAGCATTTCCACTATTGACCGTGTCCCCATCGTAACAGGATGCGAATGAAACAAGTATTCAGAGTACCTTTTGAACGCAACTCACCAAGGGTGAAAGAACTGGGAGTTCAGTATGTGCAAGTAAGTGTACATTCAGAAACATCAATGGGCAGTTTATGAACTTGTACCTCCCTCCATACTCGCCTTTCCTGAATCCGATTGAGGAGTTTATCTCCTCTTGGAGATGGAAAGTGTATGATAGACAACCCTACACCAGAGTAAATCTGCTGCAAGCCATGGATTTAGCCTGTGGTGATATATGTGAGGAATCATGTCAGGGCTGGATACGGCACACAAGAGGCTTCTTCCCCCGTTGCCTCAGGAGGGACAATATTGCTTGTGATGTCGACGAGGTGCTCTGGCCTGACCCAGCCCAAAGACAAGAAGAAGCACATTGATCACATGTTTACTCCTTTGATTTTTGTCCCTTTTAGTATTGTATACTGTAGTACAGTGCATTGTAGGCTGTATACTGTACAATGGACAAATTGTATGGCCCTGAACATTGGGCTTTCCATTTGTTAACAGTACTGACTGCTCAATAGATTTTGACTGGTTGCAGGTTCATATCAACAAAGTATAAGAATTACAGTATCACAGAGACAAAGGACAAGTTTGTGAGATGCAGGGTACAGTACTGTAAAAATAGGGGTACAAGGAGGAGGAAGAACAAAAAATGTTGACCTACTATGATAGAACATGTTTTCGTTAATCAAAAGACAATGATGGAAAAATATGAAATTTGTTTTGAGATTAAAAATGTACTTCTCACTGAGAACTGTATGTTTTGAACAATGTGTTTTCTATTTTTCGGTGTATTGTTTACTGACTGCTTGAGAGTGTATATCATTTTGATCACTTTGATTATGATTTGAGAGCAGTGTTTGATTTTGAACACAGGTAAAACTGTTTTGAGGCGAATGTTTCATTTTGCAAGAGGAGTCAGAGGTTTTGTAAATAGTGCTTGAAGATTAGGTTTTGTGTTTAATGTTTTCAGGAAATGGAGCAAGGTTTCAGAAATTGTGTTTTAGCAATTGAGAAAAACTGTAATATATTGACCCTAGTCATCAGATTGAAATCTCTTGTTGAGCTTTAAACTCCAAACTTAAAAAATGTTAACCACTAGAGGGACCCATATCATAACTTGTTGGCACCACAATCAGCCCTGTTGAGAGAGAGAGAGAGAGAGACAGACGAGAGAGAGCGAGAGAGAGAGTGACAGAGAGAGAGTGACAGAGAGAGAGAGAGAGAGTGACAGAGAGAGAGTGGGAGATAGAGAGAGCGAGAGAGAGAACGAGAGGGAGAGATAGAGAGGGAGAGCGAGAGAGACCAACATTTGTTGCTGTTATAATGAGGACAGTGCCTTAATAATGTAACATTTATATTATTATGTACAATGTGCATGCTCTAGAACAGCAGTATAATAGTGGATTTAAAGAGTGTCTGATGTCTATCTCAGGATGGTTTGACCTAGACTTCTATAAAATAGATGTGCTGAGGCCTGTGTCTCCTCACCAGTAGATTTCTTCCTGTAGTAGATCAGTCCAGCTGCTATAAAGACCACCCCCAGCAGCAGCCCACAGGCCCCGATCACCATCTTATTCCTCTCAGACTCGGGGATGGAGGGGTCTGTAATTACACAGGCATAAAACCCTGTAACCACTGTTACTTGATTCACACATTCTTACAACAACTCTCTTGATTCATGAATCATTATTCTAATAGAATGGGATTCATTCCTTTTCATCTTCATCCATCCCCCTTAGTTTGAATCAACATACAACAGTCATAACTAACTTTAAATTGGATTTACATAATCCTTGAACCGAATATAAATATTGTGGCAGATTGACGGTGAACAAACCCCTAGTTGGCTGAGGGCTAAAAAGGAAGCCAAGACCTCACAACAGCTTGCACCTTTTCCCACCCAGAGTCTCTTCCCCCACCCACAGTCTCTTCCCCCACCCACAGTCTCTTCCCCCACCAACAGTCTCTTCCCCCACCCACAGTCTCTTCCCCCACCAACAGTCTCTTCCCCACCCACAGTCTCTTCCCCCACCCACAGTCTCTTCCCCCACCCACAGTCTCTTCCCCCACCCCAGTCTCTTCCCCCACCCACAGTCTCTTCCCCCACCCACAGTCTCTTCCCCCACCCACAGTCTCTTCCCCCACCCACAGTCTCTTCCCCCACCCAGTCTCTTCCCCCACCCACAGTCTCTTCCCCCACCACAGTCTCTCCCCCACCCACAGTCTCTTCTCCCACCCACAGTCTCTTCCCCCACCCACAGTCTCTTCCCCCACCCACAGTCTCTTCCCCCACCCACAGTCTCTTCCCCCACCCACAGTCTCTTCCCCCACCCACAGTCTCTTCCCCCACCCACAGTCTCTTCCCCCACCCAGTTCTTGCCCCCACCCACAGTCTCTTCCCCCACCCAGTCTTTGCCCCCACCCACAGTCTCTCCCCACCCACAGTCTCTTCCCCCACCCACAGTCTCTTCCCCCACCCACAGTCTCTTCCCCCACCCACAGTCTCTTCCCCCACCCACAGTCTCTTCTCCCACCCAGTCTCTTCCCCCACCCACAGTCTCTTCCCCCACCCACAGTCTCTTACCCCACCCACAGTCTCTTCCCCCACCCACAGGCTCTTCCCCCACCCACAGTCTCTTCCCCCACCCACAGTCTCTTCTCCCACCCACAGTCTCTTCCCCCACCCACAGTCTCTTCCCCCACCCACAGTCTCTTCCCCCACCCACAGTCTCTTCCCCCCACCCACAGTCTCTTCCCCCACCCACAGTCTCTTCCCCCACCCACAGTCTCTTCCCCCACCCACAGTCTCTTCCCCCACCCACAGTCTCTTCCCCCACCCAGTCTTTTCCCCCACCCACAGTCTCTTCCCCCACCCACAGTCTCTTCCCCCACCCAGTCTCTTCCCCCACCCAGTCTCTTCCCCCACCCAGTCTTTTCCCCCACCCACAGTCTCTTCCCCCACCCACAGTCTCTTCCCCCACCCAGTCTCTTCCCCCACCCAGTCTCTTCCCCCACCCAGTCTCTTCCCCCACACACAGGCTCTTCCCCCACACACAGTCTCTTTTCCTACCCACAGTCTCTTACCACACTCACACACCCTTAGCCCACTCACACACCCTTAGCCCACTCACACACCCTTACCCCAGTCATACAGTTTGGGCTCAGTGAGGCTGAAGTGCTCCACCATACAGGTGATTTTCTCTCCAGGTGTGGGCGTGTATTCCAGGTGGGAGTGGATCTGGTAGGTCCAGTCCCCATTGGCCAGCTCCTCTGTGGAGGTCACATCTGAGGTCACTTCCTGTCCGTTCTTCAGCCACGTCACTCTGATGGGTTTGGGGCAGAAGTCGTAGGCACTGCACACAAGCATGCTAGAGTGTCTGGTATTGAACGTCTCCACTGACCTCAGCCTGACGTAGGGCTCAACTGGAGAGGAGGGCAATGAATCAGTGATGCAATAAGGAGGAATTCAATTGATAAATCTAAACATCAAAATCATAACCAAAGAGACAAAGGAATTAAGAATTGTAAATTATAGTTAGTTTATATTCAACGGTCAGATTTTGAATGACGGTGGGCGGTACGCTAACCCAATGGTAATTTCAGCCTTTCCATAACCCTAACCCAACCTTTTTACCTAACCCTCTAACTAATTTCCACCTCAAAAAAAAAAATGTGCCTAACCTTATGTTTTTGGTCTGCCGGCTGATAATACACTTCCTAAATTATATTACTTTGTTTAAAAATAAATCACATCTAATTAAAATATGTACATTTTATCTTAGAACCACCAAACATATGATAGAATTATCACTGAATTATTATTTGTCATCTGATATGTTATAAAGTCTATATTAAAAAGTCAAATGAGGAATTTCCTCTACAAGTTAATCTCCTTTTCTAGATTGTATCAATGATTTGTAATTACCTGTATAATTATGTAGGTAGCCAATGACTGAATCAGCATTGGCCACACACAAAATATCCATTCCAGCTCTTGGTGAGTCATGGTAATAAGGATTTCCGTTAAACATTCTTGCAAGATCCAGTCCATGGGGTGTGTATCCTGTCCATTTATCCATGGTGCTGTTGTACCATGCCATCATCACCTTGTTGAAATGAAACTCTAAGATATACTCAATATCATGCACTTCTCTGAACTCACACCTACCATTAATGTGTGTGAAATCTCCATCTGATGAATAAACTTTGAAAAGAGAGTAAAAAAGAGAAAGTCATTGAAAGTGATATTCAGATTTTTCTCTTTTATGGTGAGACATATTGTATTTTTCTTCTTTTACAATATCATAATCTGAGTTCTGATTATGCAGGATTGATATTGCCTTAAATGTTACATGTACTATACTCCGGCTTGTGTTAGCACTCCAATGATAAGAAAACGTGGATTTACACACACTACCTGTAATAAATAACAAGGGACAGTTCAAACATAAAAAAAGTGGTCCCCCCCCCCCCCCCCAATTGGGCTCCCGAGTGGCGCAGTGGTCTAAGGCACTGTATCTCAGTGCTTGAGGCGTCACTACAGACCCCCTGGTTCGATTCCAGGCTGTATCACAACCGGCCGTGATTGGGAGTCCCATAGGCCGGCGCACCGGGTTTGGCCGGTGTAGGCCGTCATTGTAAATAAGAATTTGTTCTTAACTGACTTGCCTAGTTAAATAAAGGTAACATTTAAAAATGTAAAAAAAATTGACTAGGATTGAAGAAATGATATAGCAAAACCTGCAAAACGGTTGAATGTAAACTAGGGAAAAACGCACTATCTGTACTTAAACACAACCCTCTATAATGCAAAAACAAACGTTTGACAACCCCACCCCCCTCAATCCAATACTTTTCTAACTGTCCCTTAGCAAAGAAGTCTATCTTGAAGTAGAATGTCTATACTCACCCACTTCAGACAGAGAGAAGAGGAGCACCAGGTGTATGGAGGAGAAATTCAGCACAGACATGTTTACATCTCAGAGTTAAAACAGATATATTATGAGCTAGTAATGAGGAAACTGAATGAGGAAACGGATTATTAAAAAACACAGAAACATTGGCAGCAAGATTAAAACTCCAACCACTCCAGTGCAGGTGATGAACAGCATCATATGTTTCCAGCAGGTAGGTACATTTTATTTTGCAACTGTTTACTGTGTGACTGCAACATACTGACTTGTTTTTTTATTGACTGGTTGGGCATCATTTAAAAATGTTGTGTCCTTTTTTTATGGTACCCCATAACTCACACTTTACTTTAACTAGAGAAAAACTGTGTAACACCTATAAATTACATTGTACTTAGGCAAACATTGCACTGCTTTGTACATGTGTTTGTTCTTTATCTGGGATGAAACCCCAATGGTAGACCAGTCAGTGAGGTTGAAGCATCTGTTCTGTTTTGGTCAATTCTACACAAGTGTCAAGTTAACCCAGACACTTTGTTTTGGGGTAAGTGCTAGCAAAAACATTGAGTGAAAATATGTTTTGTACAGTGCACATTAATGGGTAGGTAATTAAAACCTACTTTTCAACTTTTGTGAAAACATTTTTTGTTGCTAAAAATTGATGCAGCTGAAAACAAAATCTATGCAAAGTTAGTGATTTTAGTGGAAACTAGCACATATCTGACAAGCATTAATTGTTACACCTCTGTAATTGTGAATGTTTTCCATGATGTCAGTACAGTGAAACAAGGAGTTATTACAATTTACTACATTACCCACCTTACCCATTACTCAAATTACCCCCATTACTCCCATTACCTATATTACCCCATTTTTCACATTATCCACATTACCCTATTGTCCACATTAATTCATTACCCACATTACCTATATTAACCACATTACCCAAATTACCCCATTGTCCACATTATCCCATTACCCACATTATCCCCATTACCCAATTGTCCACATTACCTACATTATCCATATTACCCCATGTCAGCCCTTTACAATGTCACTTTTGCCTCTATTCTGTATCTCTGGTTCTCAATTGCACTGGTTTCCTTTGATGATGAGGAATGTTCCGGTAGCCACCCCCAGCAGTCCCAGAGCCAGGCCCACTCTACAGAATACAGCAGGACCAGCACTGGACGCACTCACCTCACTGACCTCAGGCTCTTGGGGACAGGAGGAAAGAGGTGCCATCAGTTAGAGTTAGAGTTAGCCAGTAAAACACACCATGAGAGATTAGTCAGAGAGAACATCCAGTAATCACACACTGTAGTAGACATATTACTGAAATATGTAAAGTATACTATTCAGAATTTACCCACACCCCAGAACCTAGTTTTGGGGTCCTTCGGGCCGTGTGCGCCACAGTGCAGGCGTAGAAGTCACCCTCCAGTGGGGTGAAACTCAGGGTGGAGAACTGGTAGAACGTTCTATCTTTAATAAGATTGCACCAACTGAGAGATGCTCCCTCAGTCACCTCCAGGCTATTATTGGTCCAGTTGACTTTGACAGACGGGGGAAAGAAATGATTCACAGAGTAGATGAGCGTGTTCTCCACCCCCAGCTCCTCCTCATCCCTGGGGTAGATGGTGCTCTGTGGGGCAAATAGAAACCAGAACATAGAAAAAGACTCCACTTGTTACATGGACCAAAGAATACTCCACTAGTAAGATGGACCAAACCCATTCAGGATCTGGTCTGATATTCAGTATTCCATTGTCTGTCCACTAGACTAAAAGGCTCCCCGCCCACTCTGGAGGGTATTGCTTTTACAGGTGTCAGGCAACTCCAACCTCAGACTAAGACACTCTTCCAGGTAAGAAGTATACAGTAAAATACAACTATATTTATGCATAGTTTTTTACTGGCTTATGCAGACATTCCAATAAAGAATCTGACTTACCTTTGACTTGTGGTATGCTGGGTACTGCACCTTTTCCAAATTTCATACGCTCCATGCACCAAATTAGAGTCAGTTTAGCATATTCATAAGACATCAGCGAATGGAATGTTTTACTTAGTGGAACATTAGGCACCGTCCACACCCCCTTTCCTTCCTTGAAATCAGCATAGCCGGCTTTCATTCCCATCCATCACCAACACCACCTCAGTATCACCTGACTCAAAGCATCCATAGGTAGCTATCATATTTATATTTCCACACTATGACTTTAGAATAATACTGTGAAATTGTGAAAATCAGGATAAAGCCCTTTTAGAGTAAGAGCTGTTTGAAAATACCTGTTTTGGTGGGATGGAGTTTGGTGACATCACCAGGCGGTATATTATTTAATAGACCAAATAGCTATTTTCTAAGAATCAATTTTTGTTTGTTTTGGACCATTTCAATTGAAAACAATCACAGTAAGGCATTTCATTGTTAAAAGTGGCTGCAGTTGGACCTTTAAGGTTAGGGTTAGGTTTAAAATCTGATTTCAAGGGCTCTATTCAAACTGTATTGCCAAAGTTCAGCCAACTTGACACAACTGTGGGAAGCATTGGAGTCAACATGGGCCAGCATCCCAGTGGAACGCTTTCGACACCTTGCAGAGTCCATACCCCGACGAATTAAGGCAAAAGGGGGTGCAACTGAACATTAAAAAGGTGTTCCTAATATTTTGTACACTCAGTGTATATTTGATAGGCTATTCTTATGTCATAAGACATACCTACCACACCAAAATAATGTTGCTAAACTGATTCTTCTTTATCCTAAACAGCTGCTACAAGCAAACTCCCAATATCAGCTGCCATCAGGGATTTGATATTGACCAGTTTTTGTCACGCTTTTAACTCCAAATGTAATATAATTGAACCACTAGAGGGACCCATATCATAACTTGCTGGTACCAGCATCAGCCCTGCTGAGAGAGAGAGCAACATTTGTGGTTGTTATAATGCTGACAGTGAAATTCAGCACGGGGGAGTTATTACAATTTATTACAATACTTTTTACATATTGTAAATACCCTGTAATAATAATAAGCACACTGTACAGCGTTACCCAAACTTTATTTAAAGTGCATTCCCATTTTTTATTAACTTTATAATATTAAATATTGTAGCGACATTAACTCAACACTGAACAACCTTGAGAATCTAAAGTGTTGGGCTGATGGTCGCTGGACCTGGGTTTGGCCCCACTCTGGGCTAACCCACTGAATTCACTGCAGGAGCACCAGGTGTATGGAGGAGAAATTCAGCACAGACATGTTTACATCTCAGAGTTAAAACAGATATATTATGAGCTAGTAATGAGGAAACTGAATGAGGAAACTGATTTTAAAAGAGACATTGGCAGCAAGTTAAAACTCCAACCACTCCTGTGCAGCTGATGAACAGCGTCATATGTTTCCAGCAGGTAGGTACATGTTATTTTGCAGCTGTTTACTGTGTCACTACAACATATTGCCTTTAATGGATGCAGCTGACAACAAAAAGCAATGTAAAGTTCGACAGTTTAGTGGAAACTAGCACATTTGTAACAAGCATTCATCGTTACACCTCTGTAATTGTGAATGTTTTCCATGATGTCAGTACAGTGAAACAAGGAGTTATTACCATTTATTACAATACAATTACAGATGTAAATACCCTGTTATAATAATAATGACACTGTACAGCGTTACCCAAACTTTATGTAAAGAGCATTCACATTTTCTAATACACTTTACAATAAAACATTTTGTAGCGAACTTAACTCAACACCAGGCAACCCCATCAAGAGGATACAATTTTGGCCTGACAGTCACTGGATCTGGGTTTAAGCCCCACTCTGGCCTACCCCACTGAATTTTGTGGGAATATCAAACAAACAACCAAAAATAAAATGTTGCGCTGGTGCCTAATCGAGTGGTAGTGCTGACAACCCTGGACTACACATTACCCTCATTACCGATATTACTCACATTACCCCCATTACCCATTACTCATTACCCACACTACCCACATTACCCCATTATCTACATTACCCACATTACCCCCATGTCAGCCCTTTACCATGTCACTTTCACCTCTATTCTGTATCTCTGGTTCTCAATTGCATTGGTTTCCTTTGATGATGAGGAATGTTCCGGTAGCCACCCCCAGCAGCCCCAGAGTCAGACCCACTCCACAGAATACAGCAGGACCAGCACTGGACCCACTCACCTCACTGACCTCAGGCTCTTGGGGACAGAAGGACAGAAGTGCCATCAGTTAGGGTTAACCAGTAAGACACACCATGAGCGATTAGACAGAGAACAGAACATTCAGTAATACACACGTAGTAGAATATTACTGAAATATCTAAAGTATAAATAGAATTTCCCCTCACCCGAATGGGGTTGGCT